CTCACAATATTTTGGTATCTATATTAGCGGATTGCTCACAATTTATGGCCTGCTATTTAATTCATTAAATGTATCTGGTAATGACAAAATAGAATTAAAGTGTGGTGATCATGACACAGCAATGTATTTTACACTTGTTGTACATGCTGCATTGGGAACATGACATTTACACTATTGTAAACCTGCATGTTTTCATTTTGGGTTAACTGGTGTTACGTTTATGCTATATTTAAACATTTCTCTAAAGATGTTTACATCGAACTCGACAAACATATAGCACATGGATATAAAACCACGTCATTGACCACAGACAATTCTCTCAGTAGCACAAATGACATGAAATGTTTTTGTTTTTTATACGTCCCTAAATCGTGACTACAATATGAATTACAATGTGAGGTCAAAGTGATTCTACACTGCCGAGTAGAATATAAAACTTTGTGATATTCTGATGGTAATCTCAAATGATATGCTCATCCATAATGATAGCAAGTTTTGAGAATCAACTTTATAATTAACTACATCAAACAGGCAATAATCAAATCATTAAAATAAATTTTAAAACGTATAAAAAAATTTACCTTTTTTTTAAAAAAGCTGTCACAGTACAGCGTAGGCATTGAGGAATACATGTTTGATACAAAGCAAATCATCAACATGTAATGGATCCAGAGTTGAATGAAGACACAAATTCCGTCACAGTAAAAAACATTTAGGTGGCCGTCAGTGAATCTGGAAGTCTCTGTAACACTTCAATTCAATGCTTAGATCACTTATACTCCATGTATCAAAACATAATTTTGTATGTGGTTAGAAATTGTAATAATGCGCTGCAACAGATGGGTGTCATGCAAAAGAATAAATTATGTTAATGAATGCATCAGCTGATGCTCACCTACTCCAGGGGAGAATGTATTAGTGGAAGGGATGCGTCACTCTCAGCTTAAATTATATGTACATCCTTCAATCTGATAAATAAGACACCCTCAGTCTGCCGACTACTGGGGCAGAACAAAAATCAGTACACTGTTGTACAGAGCATAATTAATTCAGTAGAAGTGTATTTGATATACAATTTCTGTAATAATTTACAATAATTACATTTTCCAAAATTATAAGAAGAAAACATGTAGGTCACAATATTCAACTCACTATAAATGGTGAACCAACCGATGGTAAAATGTCAATGTCGATGTTTTTTTGTGCTTTCAAATTATATACATTATACAAGCAGGTACTATGAAAATCGTTTTTAAACCTATTTGTCATGTACTGGTAATAGGTTAATGTTTTGAAACGTAAACAGGCTCATTTTTTGGTTTTCTCTCATAAGTACGTTAATGGAAGCTGGTCACCAAAATATAATAATGGCCTGAAGAATAAGGTTGTTTGGAGGAAGTACCTCAAAACAAGGACTAACCTGATGGAGTTATATCCCAAAACGGTTTAAATCTTGCTTTCGAAAACATACCTTATAAATTTCTGTTTCTGTTGTCATACCTTATAAATTTCTGTTATTATTTTTTGTTTATCAGTATCTTGCTTTTATTATTTGCTGTTTAATTTTTGTTTACGATGGTAGACCAGCTGACTAGTCTTGTGCTACCCCAGGATACAAATAACGCATATCAAGTACATCTTATTTGCTTTATAAACATTACTAGGTTAGTCTGGCTCACATGCAGCT